AAAAAAAAAAAAAAAAAGAAAAGGACTCTTACATTTCCTACAGTAAGTACTTGTTGATTAAAGTCCAATTTACATCATAAAGTAGGACTACGTCTTGAGATAGGCTAGACTGGTTGCAATATAAATAATGTCCAATGATTTAAAGTGGACTATTTTCCACTTTTTTGTCATTTGAATGGTTTTGATTTTAACTGTTTTCTTTGGTTTTATCTTAATTTCCGCATACAGGTTAAGGTGAGATCATTTTTGCTTCCTCAATTTTGGTTTCAGATCAAAATTTAGACTTCTATACTATTCATCCTTCATTATTCAAAAGCAAAATCTTGCCTAAAGGGAAAGTACTATTGAAGATGTTTATTTTTATTAAGAGGAACTATTTTATAAAAGGAGAGGCTAAAATATTTATATAACCCTTTCAATTTAGAGCCAAATTAGCATGTGCAGACCACTCCCGAAGCAATAATATTTAAATCTCGGTTTAGATCATCTGGTAATACAAAACCAGGAGTTGGGAAACGTTTTAGGTTGAATTTCTGAGAACCCCCCTCTCTCCAGCCAAGTTTCTGGCAGCAACAGTGTTAAGAAACAGTGTTAAATTAATGCCTAACCTAATCTTCCACTACTGAGGAAGGCAGGCAAGATACGTTTTGTTGAGGGGCGCTGTTTACTTATTTATTATTATTACTATTATTTGTAGAGGCATTTTAGAAATGCTACTGGGAGTCTAATAAGAGTATGGGGTTGCTCCAAATTTGTGAGATCCATTTTAATTTCCCTTGAAAATCTCGATGTGGGCGGGGGCGAGCGCCAGGCTGTACGGAGGGGTGCCACCGCGCTGCCCATCAAGGGAACCGCCCGGGGTCTGTGAGCCCCTTTCCCCGCCCACCCATCAGTTCTGGCTGCGCATGCGCGGAGCTGGCGGGCCAGAGAGTTGTCGGGTGGGAAATGGCGGCCGCAGGCTTAGTAACTGTGGCAGCTGCTGCGGAATACTCTGGCCCAGTAGCGTCTGGAGTTAACCTCTCCGGTGTTAACTGCGGCCCAAGCTCCGGGACAGGCCCTGGTCCTGGCCCAGGCTCATGGAGTCGCTCTCTGGATCGAGCCCTGGAGGAGGCGGCGGTGACTGGGGTGCTGAGCCTGAGCGGCCGGAAACTGAGGGAGTTTCCCCGGGGAGCGGCCAACCATGACCTGACTGACACCATCCAAGCGGGTGAGCGGGGCGGGGGTATCCCTGCGGAATGGAGACCCGGACGCGAGGGAGAGCCCCCAGCCGGGGGATTGCGGGCTGCGGAGATAGTTACAGCACCTGGTCCCATAAAGTAACGGGGAGAAGCCGAGTGCCTCAACCCGTCCCGTCATTTTGGCCTACGGGCCGGATTCAGACCCTGGGACAAGGCGGCGGGGGCAGCATCGCTTTCCTGGAAGGGGACCAGAGGGAATTGATGGATGGGGTTTTTAGTCTCTACTAGGATTTCAACTTCTGCCTCTGCTAAGGTATACCCTTGCCCCGCCCTGGTTTCTGCAAGGCCCTTCGGATTTGGGATGCCAAATTGACTCTTAGTTTACACGGGAACACAGCGCGCTGTTATAATACCTCATAGTGGGATGTCTCTGGTCGCTGCCCTATCAATCTCAACTGTATCGTTTTTCGAAAGAGTTGTCGGGTGTGTGTATGTTTAAATATGAGCTCGAACGCTGTAACTTTTCTCTGCCTCCATCTAGTTGACTTGCCATATGTAGAAAACTAGAGCCCACCATCAGACTCCCGTTACTTTGTGCTCCCACTCTTCATGTCTCCAAAAAAAAATTGAAACGAAGAAAACTACTTTAAAAATATGATTGTCGGCTCGGCGCCTGTGGCTCAAGCGGCTAAGGCGCCAGCCACGTACACCTAAGGTGGCGGGTTCGAATCCCCAGCCCGGACC